TGGCGGGGACCCCGAGATCCAGGGGCCCGGAGCGACCCCGAGATACCTGCGCATACCACACCTGAGGCCCATAGAGACACAGAGAAGGCTGGGACCAGACCAGCTTTTCTCCAGACGCACGGCGGGGGAGTGCCATTCTGGGAGTGCGCACAGAGAGAGCGCGCATGCCCCATACATACTGAAGTGTCAACAGGGATTTCTAGGACAGAATAATCGACCAACTCACCAAACGGCTACAGAGCATGTCCCAGAAATGCAGCCTTGTGCTAGACACTACAGAGTATGTGCAGCAGGGCACCACAGTAGAAGATGTTACATATACACAGCGCTTGAATGTGTGCAGACATGGGTGGGTGTATGCACATGCTCTGAAATGAGGCCCTGCAGGTGCAGTTTTCATGATTACCTGCTTCCCAGTTGCCACCCAAGAAGCAGTTCTGGGGAGAGGCGCTCTTTCCTTGCAATGCTGTGTTCCAACTTGGTGCAGCCAGTCTTACACCAGCCTTTCCCTTCGGAACACACAAACATCATGAGCATCCTTTCATCCTAGAAGAAACCTGGGCAAGGGCAAGTGGAGCTCCAACACAAGAAGCATTTAGGCTAAGCCTGGGGACATGTGAGCAGACCAGAGGTCAGCCTCAGCTGTGGCTCTTCAGGATACCTCCACCTTGATTTGAGAGACAAGGTCTCTCAGTGGCCTGGAACATGAAGACTGGGCTGGCCAGTGAGCCCCAGGGATCCTCCTGCCTCCATCTCCCCAGTCAGGGCTGGGATTATGCACATGTATCACTATACCCAGATTATTTTGAATTTTATGTTATTTATGTATATTTTTATTATCTTGGGTCGAGTGCTACTGTGTACCTGTAGAGGATAGAGGCCAACCTTGAGGAGTTGGTTCTCTCCCTCCTTTACATGGGTTCCAGGGATAAAATTCAGGTCTCCAGGTTGTGTGGCAAGTGCTTCACTACTGATCCATCTTTACCCCAGGCCCACATCGATCTTTTCATAATCATCAGGCTAAAGGTGAGTTAAAGAGTCACTGCTTTTCAAAGACAAAACCATTACGAATCCTCAGATTTTGAGCAAAGGATGGAATCTTTGGCTATCAAATCAATAAAGACAGTTTGAATTGTAGACAATAGGCAACCAGTGGCTCACCTGAGATACAGCACACAGAATCTGTACTTACTGTCTGTCCCAAAGAGTTATGAATAATCTGCACACTTGGAGCAAAATGTGAACAAATATATTCAGATATATTTAAAAGAATTAAAAAAAAACAGTTAGCAAAACATTTGTTGCCATAGGAATTATTAACCAGAAACGCCTACATCAAATTTTAAACATCATTCAAAGCAGGATCATCTGTACTAAGTTATGCGACAAATCATGTAAACAGACCGATACATTTTCCCAGCAGGAGCCACCTCCTTCCTGACATGGAAGCAGTCTGTCTAAGACAGTCCCCCGCCCCCCGCCCCCCGCCCCAGGGTACTAATGAAGAAACTATTTCAGAGCAACAAAAATAAAAGCTTTTATTTGTTCATTTGAATATAAAACAGGCGTTATCACAGATGTACAAAGCGTACTGGTGGTTGAACATACAAGAAGGTTGCTGTCCTTTGCACATAAAAATTTTGTTTGAAACTGTGATTGGTTGAGTACATGAGTTTTCTCTAACCAGTCACCACAATCTGAAATAACGCTGCTAACATTCAACTGATAAAAGGGACCATCCCCTCGGGTAAAGTGTCAAGCAGGATTAAATATATATAATAAACAAGCACCATGAGGAATCTGCTCCTGTTTGATTAGGTCTGTGTCTCAATGTTCATCCTGTACCCTCTTTTTGTGCAAGTTGATTACACAGTTTTGGCTGACTTCAAAAGCACATGGTCACAAGACAAACATTTTTTTAGAACATTCTCATGAATGATTTATCTACAGTATAATTTCTAATGCAGAACAACCTTCTTTATTGCTGAAACTGGTGGTGCTTAAGTGTCTCCCTTACCTTTATCTTGCACAACTAAGCTTCCAAGCCAGTCCACCCACTCTTTCGAATCAAGTCTAACGTCACAGATGACAGGATACAGAAGAGATCTGCTGTGAACTGCTTTTGCAACTGCACTGCAGTGCTCGCCCTCTTTGGGTGTAAAGTTGATATGGTGAAAAGTAAGAAGTATGTTTGGAGTGACATCTACATTTGTATTGTTTCCCAACATCAGCTGGATGGAAGATTTCCTGCACGCTGTAATGTTTACTAATTAGTATCCTATTTGAAATGTCAAAACAACTTCCCCTTAAATGTGTGTGCTTGTGTGCATATATGTTATGAAAAAAAAATTTTTTCTGTATGTGGCAGGGATTTTCCCCCGGAAGCTGCAGACTGTGGGAATGTGCATCTGAAACATGTACAGACACAGAGCAATGAGCAAACAGTGTTTGAAAAATCAAATGACTTGTGGAGATGGGAGAATGCTCTACATATGCAATTAAAAAAATGTGTCACTTAAATTATTTTTTTAATCAGCCTTGGATCTCAGAAGTCAAACAAAACTCTTTTGGCAAAGAGCTTACTTCTGGCTGTATATAACTAGGGTAGACAAAGACCCTGCCCACAGTTCAATAAAGAAGCTCATTTTTGCCTAGCAGCAATCTTAGTCAAGCTTATCCTAGTACTGGGGGCCAGAGCAGGAGCACATACTTATAAAATAAACCCCACTCTCACTGCTGGCAATTCCTCCTTGGTTGGATGCAGACAGGCCAGACTGACTTAGAGATACAAGGGCCAAGCTCTGTAAATGAAAAGGTAGGCAGACAGCACCCAGGATGGGTTCCCCCACAGGAAGTCCAGGGAGGCAGCTGGCAGGACATCTTGCTCTAACAGAGCTCTGTTTTAAGTCCCTGGTGTAGGGGTTGCTCAGGGCCAAGCTAGGATGCACCCAAGACCAGAGAAGTTCACAGAGTTGGCTGGGTCTCCAGTCTAGAAGACATTACATATATGGTTTCCCTCAAAGCAGTTCTGGACATCTATCCACTCACACAGCATCCATCGGAAGGGGAGACCAGTGACACCTGGTACACATGACCACAGGGTATCATTCTTTTCAAACCAAGGAAGGAAAAAAAAAAAAAACAAAAACGGTGACATGAACAACAACAACAACAACAAAAAGCTAAAAAAGAATTAACATTGTGCAATGATTTCTTGCAGCTAAGAAAACGGTATTATTTGCCAACCTAGAGCCCCGTCAGCGTCGTTGGCACATGCTGGCATGGATGCACCACTGCCGTCCCCACAGAAAGGAAACCATAGTGACCGTTCAGCATTCAGTTCCTTCACCATCTCAGAGACGACAGTGATCCCACTTGCTGGTCTCTGGTGTGAGACAAGGTCATGGGCAATCTGCGATTGCTCTAAACAGCAAAGTGTGTGTGAATACAGTGGAGGGTGCACCATGCAAGTGACAGGTTCTGCATTTAAACTTTAAACTCTCCTTTGTTCATTAGTGAATTTATATTTCATATATATATATCTGTTGTGATACTATCCACGCAAGATAATACAACACTTTTTTATATTAGCAAACATTACAAGACTTTAATATTCTTGAATGTTTTTTCTCTTTTATACTTCTAAAGAGATCAAAATAAATTAAACATTTTGTACATAATTACATATCAAGGAAGTTAACTTATTTTATCTTTTTAGTTTAGTACAAAGATATTTGCAAGATAGTTGCCGAAATACCTTATTTATAATTGCTTCTCATTCTATGTTAATTCCAAAGGCCGAAAATCGGCCTCTGTTTCTTTAGCATGTCTCTGACAAAGAAAGCTGCTAACATCTAATTGGAAGGTGCTACCTGGAAGGGTTCTCGTACCTCAGTAAACTCTCCTAGAAGGGTGAGACCTAGCGATGGCTTAAATTAGTAACAGATCCATGTCATTAAGATTCCATGACACATTAAAACAGAGGAAACAACTCTTTTTCACACTACATAAATTTTTTAAAAGAACCCATCTGGAGGGCATTTTTTTTTTTAAATCGCTATTTAGGCTTAACAAAATACCACATTTACGAAGAAAGCACTTCTTATCCAATAATTAAAAAAAGCAAAGAAAAGAAAGTTCTTGAAATGAGCTTTTCCAATGAACTGAAGGCAGTAATCCAAAGTCCTTCTAAGCAAAATCCAGCAGTAAATTCACATTTCATCTCCATGCCAGGGTGACTGCTCCGAGAAGTCCTCCTCCCCCCTAGTCCCATCACACTGGGCTCTGCGCAGGCGAGCGTGGCCCGAGTATCTGCACGTCTCTGTGGACACTGAGAAAAATGTTCATATCCCTAGAAAACTCTGTGGAAGCCAAAGAGACAAGACTACATGTTGTAGGCCACGTAGATGGGATCGAGCTGGTCTGCCAAGAACCCGTCTCGCAGGTGCATCCGTTGCTTCTCTCCCCGGGAGTTGATGGGGATGACCCCGATGTCCACCACAACCACCACTCCTACAATCAGATAGTGCTCCTCTAGGACCACGTTGGTCACCAATGGAACCAGGTCCAAGGCTTCCTGCTCTGACCCGTCAAGTTCAACCACAACCACTAGTAAGTTTGTCCAGGTAAACACAGCACTAGAGGACAGAGAAGAGAACCAGAGTTACCGGGGGTCTCGTGGAATGATAATGCCACTTTCTGTTCAGCCTGGCTGAGTGATCCCACCTGTCTCCGCCGGCTGGCACATCCCTCTTAGCTGTGACAGCACATACAGTAGTCTTCCTGCCACAACATACCTTCTCACATGTTCTGGCCTTCTCTCTTTCATGGTAGTGTCTGTGTTTTATGATCTTTGGGGGTTCCTGCTTCTACAGTGCAGGTCACTCCTGCCTCCTTAGAGGAGTCTGGACTCCAGTTCTGCTACTTTACAGCTGCCTGAGGTATCATCCTGCCGTGGTCTGTTCTGAGCTCCCAGCTCTGCTGACGCAGGCCTTGGGCAGTGGCAGGAGGCACCAGCAGCCCAGCCCTCCAGCTTTCTTGCCCTCAGGCTCAGGCTCATTGTGGAGCCTGCCAGCCTGTGTGAGGCTGTAGAATGCCGGAGGCATGGGATGTGCCTGAACTGGCCCAGAGGACAAGACACAGATGGGGCAGGGCCACTGGGCCTATGTTCAGTTAAACAGACCCCAAGATGATTACCTACAGACATGGGAGCATGACTAATGGTACTGACTTGGAGCAGCAGGTTTGGAGATGATGGTAACATAGCATCAGCTAAGTCCTACAGGTGGGGTGCTGTTCTATTTGGTGGGTTAGCAACCTCGGTATTCCTCTGCCTAGTTACTGGAAGCACAAACGCAAGGCTTTACCATTTTAAGCCCCATCAACCTTGTTCTGTTGGCTTTTAGGATTGGTTAAAGACCCTAGTATTCATTCACCCTCTGCTACACAGGTCTGCTGGGCTACAGGGACTGAAACACACAGGGTGGAAAGGGCTATACAGAGAATAGGACCAGGCTCCAGGGGCTCCTGGTAGGGAGGAGGACACCAGGCTCAGGGACACTGGTCTGCCCTCCCTTGCCTGTTCTAGCTTGAGGTGGGATGTACTTTGACACACTATTTTTCCTTACATATAAGACTAAGTCTGAAAGAATATTGTCCAAAATTTTATCCAGTATTGTCAATACACACAGTACAGTGAGGAGAGTTGCAGAGAGTGCTCAGCAGGCTCTCCAGGTGTTCCTTTGTGGTGCCCACATTCCCCAGGGCCCAGTTCTGAGGAGAACAAGTTCCAAGATGCCTTGACATTTCATTCCCCTAATTTGGGTCCTTGCACCTGAAATGTTAGTTTTCATGGCTCCCATGAGGCTGTATTGTGAGTTTGTGATAGCAATGATTATGTGCGTCTTCCCAACACACTGGGTCTATTTGTACCACATCATCTGACATGTAAGCCACTCTCCTGACCTGAAGCACCAGAAGAGGCTCAGCCATTCATAGTGAATGGAGGAGGTGGAGATGAGGGCCTTGCTGCTGCCCAGGGTCTGCCAGAGTGACTGGGGTGGGGCTTGAACCTTCCAATTACCTCAGCTTTCCCAGGGGTGGTGTTAGCACTGCAAGTCTCCTGATGGACATGAGCAGGTTTGATGTTAACACTGCAAGTCCCCTGATGGACATGAGCAGGTTTGGTGTTAGCACTGCAAGTCCCCTGATGGACGTGAGCAGGTTTGGTGTTAGTACTGCAAGTCCCCGATGGACGTGAGCAGGTTTGGTTGCCTTGAATTTGGCCACAAGGAGATGGTTCTGTCTTGTGACACGGAATTTCTCAGTGGGCGGCAAATAGGATGGAACAGGGTGGAAGGAAGAAGCATGGAGGAAGGTAAGAGGGGCCAGGGGAAGTGGGGAGGAGTCTGCACCTGAATGGTTGCCAATGTCCTGAGCCCATCAGAATAACATTCACTCATTCTCTTTCTCCTTCCTTTTGGGCTTCTAAGTGAACAGGTGGGTGAGAGCCCTGTCTGACCAGGTCAGAGGCCACACAGTAGGTAACCTCAGTAATGCTTAGGATAAAAACTGACCTCATGGACCAAAAACCTAGAGAGGAGTGCCAAAGAGGCCCATCAGCACATCCAGAAACTCCTTGAGGGAGATGATTCTAAGAATTAAAATGGCTTTGCTAAAAGCACAAGAATAGAAGATTGTAGCTTAGATTTACAGTCACACGGGTAAAACCAGGGCCCGTGTCTAGGGTTTCAAGAGTCTCTGTTGTCTTCTGCATTTTTGCCCTCTCTTCACAGGAAGAGGAAACTCCTGTGTTTGTCAATCCTGCTGGGGACCCAGGGCCTTGGTCACTCTATCACTGTGCTCCATCTCCAGTCCTAGAGGCCTTGTGTTGGCAAGGACCTAGGGCTATGTGACCACAGGACCAATCTAGTGTATGCAAACAGGATCTCATCTACTGTGCCAGAGTTCAACAACCAGACTCAGGACTGTGGGAGAACATTTCCCTAGCATGCATCAGGTGCTAAGTTCAATGTACAGGATGACAATAAATATAAATAAAAAGATACATTTGTACTATTCAGATTCAATAAATGGCAATAAATCTGAGCTTGCTTCTAGACTCCCATGACAGGAAGGAACAGTTTCAGAACCAAGGTCAGGAAACCAGTCACAGGTGATTCCCATACATTCTTCCTTACAGGCCCTAGCTTAATACTGAGATTGGTGATATCAGTCTCCCTGCCAGGAAGGGACAGGGTTCCCTTAGTGGGAAAACATCTTGCCTGTCATCTAGTGAATGAAGAGAGCGACACTGAACAGCATGGAATCAATTTTCATTCCTAAACACAGCAAGAAAGTGCCAAGCAGCCTCCCAGCCTCTCCCAAACATGGGAGTCTGTGGGACGCTCTTGGGTGGGAGCCAGCTGCTATCCAAGGATTTCTACATTCAAATGGGTTGGCTGTGGTAGTGCACACCTTTAATCCCATACTTAGGAGGGAGAGGCAGGCACATCTCAGTCCAGGCCAGGCAGGAGTACACAGATTCTGTCTCAAAACACACACACACACACACACACACACACACACACACACACACACACAAATGTATTAAATAGGCCGTGGGTAGGAGACAGATGTGCCCACCTCTGGCGAGAGCAGAACTTACAACCCTACCCTTGGGCCACTGTGTGGGAGACCTTGTTGCTTGGCTTTTGGTTTAATTCAAGCAGTTCTTCCTTCACAAGGAAATGAGGCCCAGCCAAAGCAATGCCTCTCCTTTTCTTCACTTTCCCCATGGAGCACATTACTTTTTAATAGCTCCCAGTCTAAGGCATTAAAAATGTCTTCTACACCTAAGTAGATGTGAAGCTTATTTTACTCCTTTATATCATGTTATCACAAATTAAGAAAAACAGCTTGGTTTCTGAGGAAACCAGACTAAAACTCCGACTTTCAAGTCACACAGGATACTCTTGTGTTGCCCTTAACCCTTAAGAGAACAGCTTACCTTGAGGAGACACTCTGGTCTGATTGGTGCTCTGTCTAGAGAAACTCTCTTCCACATCCCAGTGATCAATAACTCAGCTCCCAATTCAAATGGACATGCCCTCCCATCTACTTACCACTCTGTGACACTTTTGTGGGCTCTGATGACAGAGGTTTCAATGTCTATTGGGTGGTACCTCATGCCCCGCAGCTCCATGGCTTCGTCCAGTGCCCCCACCACATACAGGGCATCGTGGCGCTCTGTTGAGAGAAGAAGTTGAATGCTAATCAAGATCCTTGCTTAAAAAACAAAAACAAAAAACAGCAACCAAAAACCTGTCCTGTAGAGTGAGACAAAGGGGATCTTAGCTCAAGGAATGACCAGCTGCTTTCTCTTGAGGAAAGATGGCTGCATCAGTCTCGGGTGCGCATTCCTATTTGCTCAGAGGCCAGATGCCCAGCCTCTGGGTTCATGTGTTCATTCTCTCTGTCTCTGTTTCTCTCTTTCTGACATTTAATGTGTGTGCATGTGCCACATGTGGAGACCTGAGGTCAGTATCAGGTGTCTTCCTCAATCCCTCTCTATCTTATTTACTTATTTGGTCTTTTTGAGACAGGGTCTCCCTGTAGCCCCAGCTGGCTTGGAACTCACTATGTAGACCAGGCTGGCCTTGAACTCATAGAGCTCCACCTGCCTCTGCCTCCCGAGTGCTGGGATCAAAGGTGTGGGCTACCACACCTGGCCTTCCACCTTTTTTTATTTTATTTTATTTATTTTACTTGTATGCATGTATTGCCTGCATGTAGGTAAGTGCACCCATGTTGTGCAATGCCCGCAGAGGACAGAAGAGGCTGTCAGATCCTCTGGAACTGGAGTTACAGACAGTTGTTAGCTGCCATGTGGGTGCTGGGATTTGAACCCTGGTCTTCTGCAAGAACATTCAGTATTCTTAACTGCTGAGCCATATCTCCAGCCCCCACCTTAATTTTTTGAGACAGGATGTCTCACTAGACCTGGAGCTCATTGACTCAACTAGGCTGACCTTTCTAATGCTGGTATTAAGGACATTAAAGCCTGCCTTGCTTCTTAAGATGTTTTTTATGAGTGTGCATTGTACAAGATAATGAGTTTCACTGTATCTCCACACAGGCATGAAGCAAACCTTGCCATCACCCTCTTTTGCCCCTTTTCATTTCATGTCCTATCCTATCCTGCCCTGTTTCCAAATATGTCCAGTGGGGACTAACCAGTCTTTTCCTGGGCCAGCTTCTGATTCATGATCACTGTCACCAGTGATGAAGGGACCCATATAGCACCAGTTAGCACTGAACAGCCTGAGCGATGGGGAATAACACTTGCAATCCTAAGGGATTTGCCTGCTCAAAGACACACAGGACACAGCTTAGCCAAAATGCACCCCATTCCCCTGGACTCAATCACATGAGCTCTTCACTGTGTTGAGCTCACGTGTAAGTGGCAAGATAAAGCAGTTTCTGCTCATGTTTATGAACAAAGGTTCCCTTAGCCCAGGTGGTGATAAAATTTACTTTTTTTGCATGTGTGTGGTGTGTATGTGCATACACATGTATGTGGAGGCAAGCAGTTGTTCTTCACCTTCTAGATGGAGGCATCTCTCACTTGATCCCAAAGTTGCCGATTTGGCTAGCTTGCTCCTGGGATCCTAATGCCTTCTGTGCATTAGAATTACAGATGGGCCGCTATACCCTCCTGGCATTTATGTGGGTTCTGGGGATTGAACTGAAGTCCTCACTGAGTAAAGCATCTTCACAGCCCCCCCCCCCATTTTATATCCTGCAGGAAAACCTTGTAAGAATAACAATAAAAATGTGGTCAGCCCTCTAACTCTGCTTAAAAAGGAGAAAAAAACTATCCTTGATTTTGAACTCGGTAATAAGTGTATGAGGGAAAATTTGAAAGAAATGATTGACATTTAAAGTAATGTCAGACCATAAATCCTTCTGCATTTAAACCACATAAGCGAAGATGGAGACAGCTACTTACTGGCTTCTGCTTGCTATAGAGCTTTGTTCTCTTGTTCAAAACAGGGGATTCATGTTGTCTTTCAGGGACCAGGGAGGTGAAAACAGCCATCACATCCTGTTGCCCTGTTCCCTAGGGTACAGCTGGACAGGATTCTCCAGGCCTTCCTTGGGGGGTGCAAAGTGACACCACCTTTTATACCTCTGAACTCCAAACGTTCAATTAAGCTAGTCTGTGACTACCCATCATGAAGCTGCCATGCTGAAATGTTCTACTTTTTCCCTGGAATGCAGGCCTCAGGGTACTGTGGGTATATTGGGTGATTTAGGAAGCCTCCATCATGTCTAGAATTTCACCTGCCTGGATTTTGGTCTCACCAAGAATCTCTGCTATCATCCTGGTAAAACAGGCTGCTTCAATTTTTACTTGGACTAAGGAGGTAGGAAAGGACCCTGAAATCGGCAAGGGATGAATGCACAGACTATGATGTGTGCACACTGCATGTGGGTGCACCTGCATGTATGTGCATGCGCATCTGGAGGACAGGTCAACATACAGTATCTCCACAATTACTCTCTATTTTTTTGAGACATGGTTTCTCACTGAGCCTGGAACTCATCCATGTGGCTAGACTGGCCAAAAAGCTCCAGGGCTCTACCTGTCTCTGCTTCCCTAGTGCTAGCATTACAGGGATACAGAGCTGGCTCTCTAATATGGGTTCTGGGGATCAAATTCAAGTCAAGTTTGCACAGTAAGCATTTTACCAATCTCCCAATCTCCGAGTCATCTCCCCAGCTCCCACTCCCTTCTCTTCCAAGGTTAGGGGCTTTCAGATCAGTTGGGGCAAGCAGAGGTCCTACTGTGGTTCTCAAACCTCAAGGCTATTTTCAGTGTTGAGCAAACTTGACTTCTGCCCACCATTTGGCACCTTCTAGCCTGGACATACCTCCATTTGCGTCTGTGAGCTCAGTTCTCCGCAGGAAGCCAAGATAGCCTGTTCGGGCCCAGATGGTCTGGGTGTCTCCAAAACTCAGCCGGGAGTTGAAATGATCAGACTGGAGAGACTCATCTCCATAAATGGTAAAATAGCCACTGGCGTTGTGGGCACTGTGGACCCATATCTGTTGACAGAGTGAGATGTCACTGTGCATGAGCCACCTTGAGAATCTTCAGGGGAGGGAGGCTAACTCTATCTCTACAATTCAGTAAGTTGCAGTTTCTAATAGCCAAATTTGTCTTGATCTAAAAATCAAAACAACAGTGGTCTTGCTCAGGTTTCTAAGGGGAGACACAGACCCACAGATTCTCTGTGATAAAGGCACCATACACATCAAGGTTATAGTCAAGAAACCAACCAAGCCATTCATCTATTAAAAATGTCATTAAAACAGATTAATGGACACGTAAATATAGCTTTTAAGGATGAGCACATCAAACAAAGTTGTATGAGTTTCTTGTGGTTTTCTACATGTGAACACACTACTAAAGAGAAACTGAGAGATACACCAAAGCTTTAAGGTCTCACTCTTCCCCTTTCACTTGGCTGCAGAGTTGTTGAAACAGACTGTGATGAAATAATACAGAATGCAGCAAAGGAGGAAAGTCAGTGGACAGCAAAAGACAGGAAACAGAGACATGTGGATGTTTAGCCTGTGAGAGCACAGCTAAGCAAAGGCTGACACAGACTCAAAGTGGCTGTGGAGTATGTGGAACCACAGAAAAGTCCAGGATAGTGGAGCCTGCACAAGTCCAAAGATTTTCATACAACAGCATGTAGAGATGTCGATATACAGGGACCAGATATGTGAAGGGGTTTCAGACTGGAGCATTTGTAGCACAGACATTCTGGGGTTAGATGTTTTGTTATTCAATATATGCTGAAAAATGGTCAAGTTCCTTGAAGTTAGAGATAGGAATAAAGAACAAAATCTGGACTAATGTCTTTTTTTTTTTCATGTTTAAATAGCATTTAATTCTGATACATGGTTACATGGGATGCAGTTCAGTAGTTTAGGTAACACAGATAAGTCAACCACTCCCACCACCCAGATGAGCATCAGCCAGTCATTTTTCTTTCTTGATTGGAGGCATGTCTGTATTCAAGATCTCGAGCACTGGATAAGCCTCAACCCCGTGCCCAGAAAGAGGAACTCTAGTATTTATTTAAATGCTCTGAATAGGAATCATCACTATTCAGAAGCATGAGTGCCACAAAAAGATGGTTGAAGTCCACAGAAATGTTTTAAAGGACACAAATAGACATGACAAGAATATTCAGTCCTTAATTCTAGACTGGATTCTCTACTGAAGAAAATATGCTTTCAAGGACACTATTGGGTTAATTGACACAACTAGAATATAAACGGATTTAAAAATGAGATTGTATTATATTTAATGGATGGAAGTTAGTAACTGTTTATGTAAGAACACATTTTTTCAATATATATTTTTATTGAATTTTTGTGCATTTCATACATCTTAATCATATTTAGACTCCCTCCCCTATCTGCAGCCCCCCATAGTCCTCCCACTGGATTTCATGCATTTTGTCACATATGTCAAGGCCTACTGAGTCAGGCATATGTCCCCAGATGTCCCTCAGTGTGAGTTTATTTGCTGGAGCCTGGTCAGCCTATCTAGTGTTACTTGCTTAAAGCAGGCCACCTTTCTTTCACCCAGCAGTGATCAACTGCCAATACTTCCTTGGTTAAGGTTGGGGCTTCTTACTTATTTCACCAGTTCTATGCTGGATTTTTATCTGGGTTCAGTTTGCATGGTCACCATTGCCGTAAGTTCAAATGATCAAGTTCCCAGAAGCCTGTTTTCTTGTGGTCATCCACCACCCCTGGCTAAAGAGTACATTCTAAGGAAATAGTCACACAAGTATTCTCAACCAAAACCCATATATATATATATATATATATATATATATATATGCTCTTAAATGTTTCAGAATCCACAGAATTGCATGCACACATGAAATAATAAAGAACTAAATGTTTAAAAGAGAGGTTGAAAAAGTTTAAAAGTGATTGATCTTGGCAAAGTGCATGCAAGGTTTTTTTTGGCGGGGAGGGCGAGAAGTATTGTTTTTGTTTGCTTTGTTTGTTAGTTTTTATTTTTTTGTGGTGCTGGGACCAAACTCCAGGGCCTTCCGTGGCAGCAGGGCTCTAATGCTAAGCTGCGTCGCAGCCTTGTATTATTCTTATTCTTTTAATCTTTTTTTAAAAATCCTAACTGGTTTATTGGGCTTGCTATTATGTCTTTTTTTGGGGGGGGTCTTTTTGAGACAGGGTCTCCCTGTAGCCCCAGCTGGTCTGGAACTCACTATGTAGACCAGGCTGGCCTTGAACTCACAGAGATATGCCTGCCCCTGCCTCCCGAGTGCTGGGATTAAAGGCGTGCGCCACCACACCTGGCACTAATATGTCTTTTAATTAATCTTTGCAAACTCAATGAACCTTGTATCTTGTGACAGAGGTGTTTCCTTAGCAACCTCAATTTGGTACTCCACCCAAAAGATAATGAATAAATGTGGGTAATATATCAAAGGCTGAAAGACAGTGCACTGAACTATTCTAGAACTAGGCATGAAAAGGTAGAATGGTCCGTTAAGATATGGGTGGAGCCAAACTTATACTTACCCACTGAAGCTGGAAAAACCAGTTGGGATAAAAATGTGAGTGAGGCCTGCCTTATGAGCACAGTTCTAGGAGATAGACTGTTTCAAGAGATACCTGGGGAACAAGTGTCCTCTGAGTTCGGGCTCATTAAAACTAAATTTACGAGTTAGCCTTTTTTGTTCAGGTAATTGTAATGTGGTATAGTACTGCCACAGTTAGACCCTCATCTACCTCATTTACCACTGTATCCCCAGACCCCAACAGTGCCTGGAACGCAGCAGGAATTTAATAAGCAACTGTAGAAAAAGTGAAAAAGTGAACATGAGACGAGGTAAAGATAACTTCTTTGTTCTCCAATATAAAATATTTCCTTGGTAAGACAATTATGATGGTTTACACTGATTACCAACTTGAAAGAATCTAGAATCACCATAGAGATAATCACCCAAATCTCTGGACATGTCTGTGAGAGATTATCTTGGTTAGGTTAACTAAGTTAGAAGACTACCCTAGATGTGGGCAGCACCATTCCTTGGGCTGAGGTCCTGAACTGAATAAAAGAAAGCCAGCTGAGCACCAGCATACAACTCTCTGCTTCCTGACTGTGGACACATTGCAACCAGCTGCCTCGAGCTCCTACCACGATGACTTTCCTGCCATGATGGACTGTGCCCCAGAACTATAAACCAAAATAAACCTTTCCTTCTTTAAGTCACTTCTGTTACAGCAACAAGACAAAGAACTAATACAGAAAGTAGAATACAATTCAGCCTTTAAAGGGGAAGTTGTCATCTCTAGCAATATAAGTGAACCTGGAGGACATCATGCTAATGGAAGAAGTCAGAGAAGATACATTCCCTGATCTGACTTACACTTGGGCTCTGAAAGGTTGAGCTCATAGAAGCAGAGTCAAGCGGCCATCACTGGTGACTGAGGGTGGGCAGGGACTGGAAGATGCCAGCCAATGGGTGCTAGCCTTCACAGTTGTACAATGACTGACTTCTGGGAGTCAATATACAACATGGAGACTATGGTTGTTGGCTTGGAATTTGGCAACAGTTTAAACATTCTCACCACACACAGAAAAGATAACTTTATGAGGTGACAATGTATTTACTAACTTGACTGTAGCAGTTATTTTACAACACATACATACATCAAAGCATTACAAATATGCTGTACACCTTAATTTATGTACTTTTTTGACAATTACAGTTCAATCTGGTTGTAGTAAGAGATGCATTCCCAGTAGGCTCACATCTCTAGCCTTGGTGGCCCTGGGAGTTGACAAAGCTCTAAACACAGCTCTGGTTGTTCCCAGTATGCTGCACAGGCCAATGTGAAGGCTGCTGGCAGGAAGGCCACAGGTAGGGCCACGCCAGGGGTCTGAGGAAGCAGGCTCTACATCTGGCCCTATCTCTCAGGCACATTTAAAAGAAACTACTAAAAACTAGCTGCACAGAACCTGATCAGCTTAGCCTGGATCTTCTCACTGATCACAAGATTTGAATAAAGGTCCAACAGCAGTCAGAAAAGAAATGAATATGAGCAGTGAGGGATGTTAGGACTTGTTCATGAGCTATCTGTCCACCACATGCTGTGTGGGAAAGTGATCCTGGGTAGGATAATACTGTCCTGCTGCAGAATGGGCAAGGCAGGTATAACCACACAGAAATGCTCTGCTAGACAGCCAGGGCTTAGGCAGCGTAGCTAGAGGAGAGGGTAATGTGGGCACTACACAGGGACTCTGGGACTCAGGTTGTGTTCTTTCCTCATGGTCTCTACTTCCTCAGAGGAATCTTGTCAGTGAAGAATGGAAGAAAGGAAGAAAGGATGAGGTATGACACCTCATCAAATGGGGATGCTGAAGAATGGAAGAATCTTGTCAGTGAAGAATGGAAGAAAGGATGAGGTGTGACACCTGGCCTCACCAAATGGGGATGCTGCAGGTCTGGCAACCAAGTGAGAACACTATAGGGCTAACTGACCACACCAGGGCCACCTGTGGTCAGAACTCAGACAGATGAGGGTGCATGGAGAGCTGTTTCTCTCCAGCCATACCAACCTAGCTAGCAGTGAAAGGGGCCAAGAAACAGGGAAGAACAACTGGGGTGGGATTTCCTCAGGAGCATCATGAAGGAACGGTGCCAAGTGCTGCTGTTTGCTCACTGATCTGAAACACATCTGTCACTTTGCTATTCAGATGACATCTGGTTTTTACTACCATCCTGCTAGGTTGTAGCTTTGCTCACACTGTAGGTCTGTCATTTCCTGATAAAGGAGTTCTCAGTATGGGAGAAGGTACATGCTAACCATCTCCAGGGCTGAGAGATAAGAAATGAGTCTGCATATACCAAACTTCATGTGGTTTTGGAATTCTGTGAGGAGAGTGTCTCCCATCTCCCTAAGGAAATACAACTCTCTAATAATGAACTTTCTGGGGTCACTGAAGTGGCAAAGCACATCTCCAGCTCCTTCCTGGTTGCCATGATGTGCCCCATGTGAACAGCACATGTGTGGATGATGGCAGGTGTAAAGAGGAAACAGACCGGGGCTAGGTCAGATGTGTCTGGGAGGACATACTCCCAGGACTCCCTGTAACTCACCTCTCCAAGGTGGGAGTCGCCCAGTGGACCTTTTGTTTCTGGATTGGCAATTATGATCCGAACCCCAGGAAGTATCTGTTTGAGAAAGAAGAGGAGATAGGTCCTGATTGTGGCTAGAAAGACAGGTAAGTATCACACCCACAACAACCTTTTCTCCATTCCACGTGCCCGGCTCCTTTTCCAAGATCATACAGAGAGCAGCATGGCATGATGTGTATACCGTTATCAAAAGACTGTTTTCTGGTTTTTTTTTTTTTTTGAGACAGGGTCTCCTGTAGCTCCAGCTGGCCTGGCACTTGCTATGTAGACCAGGCTGGTCTTGATCTTACAGAGATCAACCTGCCTCTGCCTCCCAAATGTTGGGACTAAAGGTGTGTGCCACCCAACCCGTATCTTACTGCCGTTGCTCTTTACTGCCATAGTCTGGGGCAGAAGGAATTAAATAAGGAAATACGATTGCCAATCATCTCAAAGGTGGTAAATATCCAAATCTGACCATAATTTTTTTAAAAAAGGAAATTCTGAAATGAAATCCAAGATAAATGACATTTCACACAGCCTGATGGATGTAGAATAGTAGTCTGATGGATTCTGTGAATGTGTACATTAAATTTAACACAAGACAAACAGGAATGGAGTAAGAGGACGTGACCACAGTCATCCTGAGTTCCAGGAGTCATGCAGGGAACGTTGCAGGGAGGCATGTGAACTAGACATAACCAAGTCCCAAATGACCTTGCCAAATGATTCAACAGTGGTGGACAGAAGTAAGGGTTGGGTCAACTCCTAGTCCAGCCTGATTGGAACTTCTATTCTGACATCCACTCTTCTCCATTAAATTTTCAACTAAGGGTCCTGGGAGACCCATTCCTGAGTGTGATCAACTTTTATTACAGATTTTGATACCTAGCCCATCCTCTCAATGTATACTCAAGTTAGCAAAGTTCTACTGATAGCACATATCTAAGGGTTCAAAAGCTCACTTCGAAATCCCAAATACAGCCTGCTTCAGTTCAGAAAACTTAACATTCTATAGATGAGGTGAGGCAAGATACTTTGTGGTAGGAACTCATGACATTTTGGACCTGTTAGGCTGAGCTTGGAGGGCAATAACCCTGAAGTCTGCAGCTGACAGTCCCTCAGACTGTGCTAGGATGATCACCACATTCCTACTCTCAGAACCACTTTAGGAAGGGATCTGATGTGCAGAGATGGACATACAGATCCTAAGTGGCCCATAGCAACATTAACTGCTTTCAGAACTATGTCAGGGGCCGGAAAGATGGTTAAGGAGAGGGGCTCTTGCTCTGCAGCATGGAGACATGAATCCCCAGCACTCACATAAAAGCTGGGCACAGCTGTGTATGCCTGTAACCCCAGCATTGGCAGGTGGACAAAGGTAGATCCAAGAGCTCACTGGCTGGCCAGCCTAGCCAAAAAGCTGAGTGTATGGTTTAGGGAGAACGTACTCAAGGCAATATGGCAAAGTGTGACAGGAATCACTGACATCATGTCCTGGACTCTACTGTGTGAACATGGGCACACACTTGCACAGCTATGCCCCATATACATGCACCAAATACATGCACATAGAAAAGAAAATTTAAAAACAGAACTATGTCAAGTGGAGAATGGACTGACATTTGGGGCCAAAAAAGAAAAAAAGATCATTTAGGTTTAAAAATATTCTTAGTTCTTTGAAAGCTGACAAAGTGACAGAAATTAAACAGTTGTCCCCTGATAACCATTCTCCAGATATTTCCATATGGAGACATCCTGAGTAGGCATACCACTAGATAATCAGAAATAACAGACTAGTTGACAATCTTTGCTTCAGCTAGGTGTGAACAAGTGACTAAATTCTAGTCAACAGCATTTAGATGAAAGACAGTGTGGGAACCTCCTCAAGATTCTCCAAGTTGTTTCCTTCTGCTCTTTCTGCAAGCTGGAAGTGGGAAGGGTAAGTAGAAGAGGAGAAGCCATGTTAGAACCTGAGGTACCCTCAGGGGCACAGCCTGTACTGAGACAGATACACCTGGGCTGCTGGTGGCTCCATGGAGCAAGATGCCTATCTCTTGGCCTTCATATTAAAATACTCTAAAGCTAAATGAGCTTCTTTACTCATGGCCAAATTCCTGATGCATTCTCTTTGAGAACACACTTCTTGGCACTTCAAAGTCCACACACTTTGACTCACTTTTTCACTGGGACAGGAATTTCCACTTAAAAACATTATTTTTTGATTTATTTATTTTGTGTGTATGAATGTTTTGCCTGCATGTATGTAAGTAGACCCCATGTATGCAATGCCCGTGGAGGCCAGAAGAGGGTGCTGGAGCCTATGGAGCTGGAGTTAAGGACAGTTATTAGTTGCCATGTGGATGGTAGGAACTGAACCTGGGTCCTCTGCAAGAGCGGTCAGTGCTTTTAACCACCGAGCCATCTCTCCAGCCCCAGGACTTATAACACTTACTTTTCCAGATTCCATCAGGGGCAAGCTGTGAGGAGATCCCCTTTCCACCAACCGGACTCTGTAAGAAGAAACAGACAACACCACTCAAGGGGGGTTTCTGGATACACTGCTGCCTCTGGCCACCTCCAACAGATGACATGGGCTTGGCAGGCTATTTGGGGATGTAAACTGCTAGTACTGTCCCGCAGCAAAGGTGAAAGTTCCAGAGAGGGCCACTGATGGCAGAATCAATGGTGCTACCACAAGGACAACCTGGAAAGAGCACATGAGTAAAGACCACAGAGAAAGGAAATGAAATCACATTTGTCCAATTTTTAAAACTGGAAAGGGAAGATGAGCAGTGGATGGCACCCCTGAACACACTGCTGGTGGCTTGTGGCTACGTGTTTCAATCCTGCAGTTTGGACAGCTCTGCTTGGATGCAGGCAACATGCTGAGGAAGGCAGAGATTTGGCCCAGCAGCCACGGTGACCTGCTAAACCAAGGTGCTAAGCTGAGGAAGCCCGGAGAAACTCTTCTCCAAGAGAAACTGCTTGTAGCTGTGATAAGAATGAGAAGTGTCCCTCTCGGACTCAAGTGTTTGAACACCTAGTCCCCAGTTAGTGGCATCGTTCAGGGAGGTTAGGGAACATTTAGAGTGTGGAGCCTTGCTGGAGGGCTTTGAGTTTCTAGCCTCATCCCACTTTCAGTTCCTGCTCTCTCCTTTATGCACAGCTGAGATGTGGTCTCTCAGCCTCCTGTTCCTGCTGTCCTGCCTCCCCCCATTACGGACATCTAGCCCTCTGGAACTGTAACTCCAAAGAAACTTTCTTCTCTAAGTCACTTTCCTTTCTTACCAGGTACCAAGGACAGGATGCTGTCCATTCACCTAGAGGGTGACTCTGTGTGTGTGTGTGTGTGTGTGTGCGCGCGCGCGTGTAGGCCAGAGGTCAGCATGGCTGCTGTTCCTCAGGTATCTTCTACTTTGTTTTTTTCAGTCAAGCTCCATAGACGATTAGGGCTCACCTCAATGCATGCAAAATGGAAAATGGAAATTAATATTAAAACACCATCAATGAGATGCTACATCTTTCAGTTTTCTCTATGGGTATGGCCATCTGATTTTCAAGTACACTTCAGACATGCTAGTTAATCACAGAAATCCTGTCACATCATGATCCTGTGATCACATATTAATGTTAAGTTTGGTGAACGATGAGTTTGGAGATGGTGTCCGTGCCTGAAGAGAGCCAAAGCTGAAATGAAGGAGGAAAACAAGCTAGGAGTAAGATCAAGTAGCTCATCTAATCCCATGGCACCTGTCAGTGCTGTAGCCAGAGGGACCCCAAGGCCCAGGGGAGCAAGTCAAGGATGCTATAAAATGCAGAGGAGCATGATTTCCCATGCATACTTGTTAGGACAGGGAAAAGTATGGACCTCACTGACTGGATGGAGGGCAAAGCGCTCAGCAGAGATGCATGTGCTGCACTATCTGTTAGGACCATGGGCTACAACAAGCTGACTGCAAAACCAACTGCAGACTTCCCATCTTCCCAGGGAATCCTTGTAAATGTGTGCACGAACCCTGGCACACACAACACAGTAGCACAGACTCATGTTTGTACAAACACACCACACACCTGTGTGGATATAAAACATGCACAACACTCCCAATATACTCACATAGCGCCATTTTACATTCACATACACATACATACACTCACATACTTGAAAGCCCTCAGTCCCTTGCAACACCTTACACTCATGCAGTACACACATGTAACCCATGGTACTACACTACTCAATTTCAACACACAATACCCTTGACCATACAGGAGCTCATGTGCACATGTGCACCTGCAACACACCACCTATATACACATGCAGAAACTCACACACATGAATGTGTACTTGCACACATATGCAGTAACATGCAAGCATACATAAGACACAAAAAGTCCATACATGACACATTATACACAGCAGAGACTAGGCTATCGAGGGCCCCTGGCAGACGTTTTGCCTTTGTCTTCTGCTTGCCTCTCCTATCCTGCTGACTAAATCACAAACCCACTGAGATGTCTTTTTCTGTACTTCTCTTGCGATCTTGATACTCAGCTATTCATGGGGCAGGAATTAGCCTAGAATCCATACTTTTCCTGTCTTCCCTGCAGGGTCTCATGTAGACCAGGCTGGCCTTGAACTTGCTATGTAGCTTCTGATCATCCTCTTTTACCTCCTTAGTGCTAGTATTACTGGCATGAGCCACTAAGCCCTGTTTGTGCAATGCTGGGGACTGGACCCAGGGCTTCGTGCATGCAGGTAAGCACTCTACCAAACCAGGAAAGCAATATCCCCAGTCCTGGAATCTATATTTTCCTACACACACCCTTTAATCACGACTGCAGCTTACAAGCCCTGAAGGAGGCAAGCAAGTTTCCACTGTAGGCCTTTACACTAACAGTGTGTGTATATGATCTGACAATGTTTTAGAGCTGTTTCTTTAAATGCCTGAGAAACGCTTTTCTTTCCTACCTAAATCTTGAACAATTCAAGTGTTTAAGTAAAGATCAAACGGAAAATGATTGAGTAACTATGAATTCATTTTAAATACATGCATTGTAAAGAACATCTTAAAAATTAATATTCCTCTCAAATAGCCTCCAAACAGTTTCCTCTTGTAAAACGGGAGCTAACTTTATTCTAGAAACTGGGGAATATGAATCCTCCTTATGTGAGGCAGAAATGTTCTCCATGGCAACTTTGCTACAAATGCAGACTGCCGAATCCTCAACACTGGGGCTGCAAGACAAAATGGGTACTCAGCACAGAGGTGTAAAATCAAGTAGACATAGATAGTTAAGGAACCTATTTGATCACTGGCTTCCACAGGGTAGATCTGAGAGCTTGATCTTAATCTGAGCTGGCTTGTGCCTGCCCACCTTCTCTCTTTCCTCCCTTCTTCCTTCCTTGCAACTGCACAGCATACTGATAAACCAAGCTTCCCCAGGTTAATTAAGTGATAATTGGGCAGGTGTCTTGACACTCCAAAGTGAATGTCCCATTAAAGCAATAGGTAAAGTAATTAATCCTTATGATGGACTCTAATACAGCTGAAGTGAGAAAACCACCCCGTTTTTACAAGCAGAAAGAGGATCGACAGCTTCGGCGGCAATCCTTCCTCACTGCCTTCGAGTTGGGGCCCTGGACTGTCTCTGAGGGCAGCACGTCTGGATGCTGTGGGACTGGAGACACAAGTCCTCTCTAAGTTCACTACTAGAATCTCCACCATCTCCTTGCCCAGGGCTCCTAGTTAGTTCCAACCTACACCTAGAGCCTCACAGAGATCTTTTCCCTAGCTGTTATAGGAACCCACAAAGACTGGCTTTACCAGACCCATCCTAAACACCTATCAGGGAAACTGAGGCCCCAGAACTAAGCACTTTGTTCCAGGGCCCCAGGCAGGAAGGAGAGCTGTACTCTGACCTGTCTGATCCTGGAGCTCATATTTTACAGGAGCTACAACATAAGGCATGCTTTTACACATGCTGGTCAAGGTCAAAAGCAACGCTGGAGATCTGAAGCTGGGTATTACTGCCCCTGAAAATAGGAGGCTGCATGGAGGAGATGGTATTTGAGCTGAGACTGACAGAATGAGCATCTGCAAAGGATATGAGGAGAAGCCCCTGAAGGAACACACATTATAGCAGGTGCTCGGAGGCTTCAGGTGGGGGTGTCAGAGCATCGGAAAGGGAGGCCTGCACTGACACATGAGGGAAGAAGATGATGCTGAGACTTTGTGCAGTGGGCTGAGGAAAAAGGGCCAAGACAGATGGAGTAGGGTGAGAATACCTGCTGGGGTGGACAGGACAGACCCAAAAAGGGAGGTCAAACAAACAGGAACCTGAAAAAAATATCAACCTGAAAAAAATATAGTGGGGGATCCTGAGGAGAAAACTCAGTCAATAAAAGTGCTTAACTTACAAGCATGAAGACTTGAGTTTGACACCCAGAACTCAGAATAAAAACAAGCAACCCAACACAACACTGAGTAGGGCAGTATACAACTACAGTAATGCAGCACTGGGGACATGGAGACGTGTGGCTCCCTGGGGCCCACTGACCAGCCAGTCTAGCTGCCGTGGTGAGTTCTAAGCCAGTAAGAGACACTGACGGGGAAAAAAAGTGGATAGCACCTGAGGAATGACACCTCAGGTTGTTCTCTGGCCTCCATACACATGTACGTGTATGTACACATGTGGACACATGCATGACCCACACACACCACAGTGGAAATTTAAGGACAGTGCATTCCAAGGTCAGGGCGGGAAAGAGAGCTTTGCTCGGCCCCAGGCTGTGGGGAGGAGTTGCTAGAACAGAGGGAGTACAGCAGGTACATCTCCCACTGAGAGTGAACTGTGAAGGTTGAGGCAGTGCTGCGGACCTGGGTGTGACCTCTGTGTTTTAGGTCAAACACTGAGGAAGAGAACAGGTATATGATCCCATGGATGCTGTGTCTGATGAGCAGCCCTCAGTTCCCCCAGATGTAGGTTGGTTTAGGGGGATGACTGCACTGCAATCACATCCAAGCACAAAGAATATCCCTGGGCACCCTCTATCATTCTGATGTGAGGCCTGGACTGCTCACACAGCACATCTGTCTGGGGTGTCCCATGCAGAGCAGCAGAAAGGGTGGGAGACAGTTCATCAGGGGCGTATCATTCCTGACTATCACCACTGATGACACCACATAGTTTAATGACATAATGACCACAGAGCAATTTCCACTTCATGATACACCTCACCATCACATCTTTTTCAGATGATTTTAATAATGAGCAAAGCAATCTAGGCGCAGAAAACTATCATTCCTGATTAGAAACTAAGACAAAACTGTCACTCAGAAGGACCACGGCCTTGGCCAAGATCACAGAATTAGCCCATGACCAAGTGCTTGCCCTTGGATTTGCATCTCCTGCTGTTTCCAGCAGCACAGTGCTGATCTAACGTGGAACTGGGATTACTTCATCACCACGGAAGAGTGCAGATCCTCGGTTCTCAGCACGCCCTGCACCCTGTCCTTCTTGACAGGCAGAGCTGCCACACTGAAGACAAAGGATGGACTTAAAAATAAATAATAAGAAAGGCAGTTCATTCCTGAGACACTTTGCCCTTTTCACAAAAGAAAAATTCAAAATCCCAACTTTAAGCCTTCCCTGATTTCCAAGGCACTCTTAAGTAAGAGGATGCATTGCACTGCATTACAAAGCTTGTTCTTTACATATTTTAAGGATCAGGCCAAAGCAGAACTGCATACATGTTACAGGTCTAGACTGTTGTTCGTGTCTTGAGCAGTTTATATAATTATAATATTATTTTCCAAATAATTTTTACTAGAGTTAGGTAGGTTTGTCTTCAAATGCAAAAGTTACCACTTGGAAAATCACACGTTCCCTAGAACTAGTTTCTCAACTGCTCTAATGCTGTTCCTGAATTTTCAAAGTTCCAGATTGAACTTTGGCCATCCAGAACCCAATGATCCTGGAGGACAGTGCTGAGGGAAAAGTCTCTTTCTTTCTTTTCTTTCTCTTTCTTTCTTCCTTCCTTCCTTCCTTCCTTCCTTCCTTCCTTCTTTCTTTCTTTCTTTCTTTCTTTCTTTCTTTCTTTCTTTCTCTCTCTTTCCTTCCTTCCTTCCTTCCCTCCCTCCCTCCCTTCCTTCTTTCTTTCCTTCTTCTTTCCCTCCCTCCCTCCTTCCTTCCTTCCTCCCTTTCTTCCCTTTCTTTCTTTTTTAAAAAAAAACATTCTATTTTACTATTTTTATTTTGTGTGTGAGTGTTTTGTCTGTGTGTAGGTAAGTATACTCATTGGTGCAATGCCCATGGAGGTCAGAAGAGGTCAGATCTCCTGGAACTGGAGTTATGATGGTTGTTAGCTGTCATGTGGGTGCTAGAATTTGAACTTGGGTCCTCTGTAAGAACAGCCATTGCTCTTAACTGCTGAGCCACTCTATCCAGCCCCAGGAAGACTCATTTTCACTGAAGCACAACTTTCTGTGATTCTAGAGCTGCAGAACAGGAATTCTTTTGTCAACAGGAGAGTATCACACAGGACTATGAGGGCCAGGCAGCCACCTACAGCTGTGAGGTATGTGGGCTTCTCAGTGCTGGTGCTGCATACATTTTGTCACTTGTCCTGTACACTGCAGAGTGTAGGCAGCATCCCTAGCCTAGACCAACTATGTGACAGCATACTGATTTTAACTGCCAAATTGAGCCAACAAAAAATGGGTCCAGATGTGGCCCAATGTTTGCTAAGGACACATAGGGACTTATGGGAACATGCAGTGGGGACTACCTAGGCCTGCTAGAGGTTGCACAGCCCACCTAGCCACCAATTTCAGATCCCTTCTCAGCCTGCCTCAGTACTCACAGACACAATGGCACCTATCCCTGAGCAGCGTCTTTCAGCTGACTACTTGGTCAGGCAGGAGTGCATGCTGCTCCCCATGCCCTCACCCCTAACCACACAACCACTCTGGCCCTGTTCTCTGTGTACTATAGCACAGAGACAGTGTAGACAGGCAAGGGAAAGAGAAATCACAGGGTAAGCAGCACAGTGTCTGGTACAAAGCAACACATTGAATGTAAACCTTCTAACCACTTTGAAAGACATCTCCAGCTTATCTCTGCACATCACATAACAAACAATGCTGGGCATTTCCACCAAGAACGACATCCATTTTGATGTAAAAAGATAACATTCTTTCTCCTCTCTTGGCCATCTCAACAGGTCCTTCTTGTTGAGGCTGAACTTCTCCCAAAGGTCTTATCTTGTGGGGCTCTGCCCTTCCTTTCTGAGGCATACATTCTCTCTCACCAATGATCCCACTTTATAGTCTCACTCAGAAGCTGCATAGAAAAGGAAACTTGTCTTCTATTTTAACTTCTTAGAAATCTCTCTCTCTCTTTCTCTCTCTCTCTCTCTCGCACACACACACACAATTTACATGCAAAAAATGTTAGTAGAATGTTCACACATACTAAAGTGCATAGTGACACATGACCAAAATGGCCAGGACTTCAACTACCTGACTTCCAGGCAGCCTGGTATGTCAGACACCTCTAGCCACGCCACTGCTCTTGCACAATCAGGTTTTCATTTATAAGGCTGGAGCCAACTTGCCCTATGCTGCCACTTCATCCATAAGATGATGACACTTTGAACAAGTAAACATGGCTATTTTCCCTTTTCTACTTGGACACATGCATCATGGATCACCAAGGGAAGGACAGAAGGCGGGAAAGGCAAGAACCCGCTAGTGTACCATACCTGTCGTGTCTCAGGGCTCTCATGTCGACATAGACGGTGGTGGGGTCAGGCCCTGATGTCCCCTGCAAACAACAACACAGTGTGGTTAAGCCAAGTGTGTGGGGAAAGAAACTGGATCTGTGCTCTCTGCTAGCTGGCAAGCATTTGTTTGGTAAAATTTAAACTGAAAAAGAAACAACCCAAATGACTCACGATGTGCTACAATCATACCTCCAAGTAACCATGTAGCTTCTAGTTTGATAACCTAAATTCCCAAAGGGACATCTTAGGATAACACTGAACTTTTACACAGCTTGGCCCCAATTATGTATGTATAAGAAAAAAAAGAGGGATACAAGGTGTTTTGGCTGTAAAGATTGGCTGTAAAGGGGATTGTCAGGAGACGTGTCTTCTGCTCAGAATTTTTCACTACATGCATCCAGAAAGGCTATTTTTAGGACCAAGATACCAAAGTAGAAGGGTGACATGAGCTGACAGATTGAAGAGGAAGGTACAAGAGATAATTACTTTGTTCCTTTAGTCCTACTTGTGCCTCCAGTCTCAGGAGGTTATTTTTGTCTGTGACCTACGTCGGGGAGGTGGTGTGTTTTTCTAAGTCAGCCAGGCAGTACACCGAGCATTCTGTCTTCCTTTAACACAGCAGTCCAGAAATATTATCTGGGCATCAGAAATATCTCCCAAAATTACACTGAGCTGACTTCTGACCAGTAACCTCTGCCAAGGTAAGGGCAGTATTACTGAGGTGACATAACGGTTTATGTACATTTAGTGATAAGGCAATAGAATACCTAAGATAGGAAAACATAGAACTCCTAAGAAATTTGCAAAAATGAGGGAGCCCTTCAGAATTTATTTGAAGAATTGCACTATAAATTCTTTAGGTTAAAAAAATTGTACCAAATGCATGTTTAAATAAAAGAATAAAAATAAAGCCAACTTTGCTGGGTGTGGTGGTACACACCTTTAATACCAGCACTCAGGAAGTAGATGTGGGCATATTTCTGTGAGTTCAAGGGCAGCCTGGTCTACATAGTGAGTTTGAGGTAAACATGGTTTACATACCAAGTTCCAGGCCAGCCAGGGCTGCAGAGTGAGACCCTGTCTCAAAACAAAACAAAAACCAACCAACCAAAATAAAACAAAGCAAAAATAAAAATAAAAACAACAAAACCCTACTTCACAAGTATATATTATACCCTCAGTGACTGTGGTCACATGGGTCTCATGTCCAAGACTGGAGAGACAAGGAAAAAGAGACGTCTTCTATTGTTCTTCAGTGACAGTGCCCTGTGGAAACTTCTTCCCACACTATCATTTAGTGGAGTTGTTACAGAGCAGTAGGGAGTGAAAAACTGATTTGAGAATGTGAGTGATGTGAAACTCATAACCACAGGTGGTCAATTAAAAACAAACAAGGAAGGCATCAAGTCAGGAAAAGTGGACAACGCTGAGAGTGGGGGATGAACCCAAACCATCAGGGAACCTATGACCATCATGTTCATGGTAATGCAGCATTTTTGAGAAACTGCTGTGCTATCACTCTAGGTGGCCAGTACCCCAAGCACAGGGCCTACACACCAGCTGCAGATCTCTTCGTTCCACTTCTAGCCCGTCCTGCTGCTGGAAGTGGAAAGGCAGGAGGTAAACAGGTGGGTACACGCTAGTGTGATGAACAGAAAAGTCCCCTACCTGCTCAGCCAGTGTCCGCAGCCTGTGGGGCTACAGCAGCAGCAGGGAGCAGACAAGAAGAAAGGAGAGGACACCAGGCCAACAGACACCAAACACAAAGGACACAGACAGGACAGACACACACAAACAACCCAATAATTAAGAATGGGATGAACGGGGAGGGGGGGGTG